TTGAGCAGTGTATGGGTACCCGGTAGGATGAGAAGGTGATGTGACTATCAACACTAGCGTCTCACTAGCTTAGGTTGTATAGGCAAGTGCACTCAAATCTATTAACAGGTTGATTATGTAACTTGCTTTGGTTCGTGGATTTGGCACACGTGCACATTGTTAACATGATACTTATCCATTTCTTGATCAACAAGCTGAATGTAACAGTTTGAGGATTTGCTGATGACATGACATGGCCCATTATTTGGGTACTTCGAGGCGAGTGGCCCATAGTACAAAAGGCAGAATATTTTTTTCTTGAGGCTGTGTCACAAGTTTTAGACGACCTGTGAAGATCCGGGGTAGAATAGGTCTTCAGCAACCCATGTGCTTGCCATAAAAGGCGACTATGCTTGCCGTAAGAGGCGACTAACGGGATCAGGTGGTCAGTTTCGCTGACTTGGTTGACACATGTCATCGGTTCCCAATTGCGCAGATCGATGCTCATGCTGTTGATCACTGGGTTGTCTGGTCCAGACTCTATTATTTACAGACCGCCGCCATATAGCTGGGATATTGCTGAGTGCGGCGTAAAACTAAACTCACTCACTCACTCAAGTTTTAGACACAAAATGTCTACATGTCGCAGGTATAAATTAGTTTGAGCAATGATCACACCAGGTGTGGTATTATGTTAATGTTATTGGGGGTGTCGACAGAAATGTTGCATGTATCTTAAGCAGGTATAATTTTTAACAATTCTCTGAACATGACTAACAGCACCATTAGTCAACACTACACACCTGAAGCCTTTGTGAAAGGCGAACAAAGATCGCTCGATATGTTATGCTTCAAGCTGAACTGTCTTGACAGCAGGAAGTGTGTTATACATGAGGAAGTACAGAACGACTGTGTTAATATTGTAATACACCTACGTAAAATCCATTGATCCTTATCGCTGAGACTGGCTTTATCAGCTAAGTACGTCAGTTGTAGGTGATGAATAACCAAAATATAAAAACAACAATACCTGCTCAGTAATGATTCTCTGACGACATGCATCCCGACTCTACAATGAACCCAGCAATCATCCCGGCCGTCATTAAGAAATGGAGGTTCATGTTGCAGACGACATGTGTGTCGAGAACCAGGGCCCTTATTCTCGAAACGTTCGTAGCCCTAAGAATTCTTAACTTTGATCGTAGCCACTGTGTTAAGAATGGGCTTACGAAGTTCGTAGGGTTACGAACGTTTCGAGAATAGCTATCCTGCTCCTCAGGCCGCGACTGACATGATCCGTTATGTAATGCATCGTTATTGTTCTGGTTTAAAACTGGTCATTTTTGGTGTTTTCTCACTCTTCCAGTCTAAGTTTCGTGTTGAATATAGATTTTTGTGTTTATTTTGACAGTATGGACGTTGATCATGATGCGGCGTAAATTGACAAATAAGCAAACATGTAAAAGTTCGAACGTTTAGACTCTAAATATATGTAATTTTGATGAAAACAAGTACATGTAACTATATTTAAAATGAAAAGGAGCCTCGGTGACGGGAGTGTTTTGACATTTAGAAAAACAAGACTTCCTATATTTGGTTCAGCTATATAAACTGGGCGGAAGAGGAACAAATATAGCCCAAGGCCTGTGAGACAGACTGAGGACCTAAGTAGTCGATGTATGGACCCGTGAAGATCCGGGTTAGAACTGGTCTTCACCAACCCATACTTGTAAGAGGCTACAAACGGGATCTCACTGACTTCGTTGACACATGTCATCGTATCCCAATTGCGTAGATCGATGCTCAAGCTGTTGCTCACTGGATTGTCTGGTCCAGATTCGATTATTTACATACCGCCGCCATATAGCTGGACTATTGCTGAGTGCGGCGTAAAACTAAACCCACTACACTACTCGCTAGTGTATGTATGATTGGATGTGATAATATCGAGTACCCATGGCACTTGACATAAGTGGTAGGAGTTGCTTTAAATACCATCTGTCTGAAGTAGCCTAGATGCCCTTTGACGGGTGTATAAAGTGAATAATACAATACATTCGGTTGACACCATATCCATTATATGGACGGTATGGAAAGTCGTCTTCAGTACTCATACTATCAACCTTTAGTTTGTTCGTCCAAGGCAACACAGTAGCTGTCTTGATATGAATTTGTTTCTGGCTTACACGAAAAACAACACAAACTCTCTTCACATTATTTCAAATGAAATGTTCACTTCCTAGTCACTGGTGTGAGGAAATCTAGTGGTTAAAGCTTTCGAAGGCTCGGGTTCGATTGCCCACATGGGTACAATGTGTGATGCCCATTTCTGGTGTCCTCCGCCGTGATATTGCGGGAATATTGCTAAAAGCGGCGTAATACCCGACTCACTCACTATGAATAAAACCAGGGATACTCTACAACCTTATATAGTCTCCCTGATGAAACGCATAACAATAAAACAGCAGGGGTTATAAAGGCTGCAGCGAAAGAGCTTATCCAATGACCAGCATGATCTAAATATACCACGAATATTTGAACACCACAGAGATATGAGGTTATTCACACCCTTACTTCCTACACCCTCGATTATCCAACGTAGTATATATGTACATACATTTATCAAAATAGCTGTAAAACGATAAGTAAACATGGGTGTATTTTAGCAGACCCGGATGTTATTAGTCATCGCCTGTTAATGCCTGCAGGATGTGAAATAGACTAAGGCTTAGTCTCTGAATATATATCATTTTGATAGTAACAAACAAGCCCATTTATATTGAAAAGGAGCCCTAGGGAGACCAGAGGAAATATAGACTTGCTTTCTTTAGGGCTTTAGCACTGCAGAGAGGGCTTGGCAGTAGGGAAATTAATGTGGTTCAGGGACTGTGAGACAGACTACACTGCAGAGAGGGCTTGGCAGTAGGGAAATTAATGTGGTTCAGGGACTGTGAGACAGACTAGATGTGAAACTGAAACGGTGCCCGGCGACCAAGTTAGATTATTCCCCGAGATGACGCAACGTCTGACTTGAGTTGTAAGAACACGACTCGAGAGATTGATGTGAGGTAACAGACTGTGTGAGAACAGTTTCACCTGTTAGTCCCGGCTCGCCGCACAGCTCTGTGTTCGCTAAATGCTAATTGGAAGTATCAGGGAGACTATATAACGTTGTAGATGATCCCTGGTAGTATGTAGGTGGAAGGGGTGTGTACTGTATTCGCCAATATATTCTTGTACTATCAGAGTAAAGGGCATATAAATTTATTTATCACTTGAAGTTTGGTGGCAGTGCCAAGGTAAGACCTGTTCTCAGATACCTTTAAAAATCACAAATCGATTCCATTGCACATATCGATTCAGCCGGTTAATTACAAGAACATGTTTTGGAACAAGTCGTACGTATTTATTTATGGTTTATTAGAAGTTTTCTTACCCTGTGTAATATGAATTCAAACCACTGGTGGTCCAAGCATGTTACTTGGCTAACGCATAGTCTCTGAATATTTATAATTTAATAGAAACAAATAATTCCTTTTCAATTGGAAGGGGGACCCAGTAAGATGGGAGATTCAGAACATCATGACATCTAGACTTGCTTCGTTTGGGGCCTTAGTATTGCAGAACGGGTTGGACAGAAGAAAAATAATGCGGCAATCTAAATAAACTTAGGCTCAGTGTTATTCGTTACACTGCTATACTGAGTCTAACAAACCCTAGTACTAAACGTACTCACTCACTGAAAGATGTTTGAACATACCCCTAGTATTTAAACATTCCATCATTTAAGTGCGCACGGGATAGTCAGTCATGTCAGTGATGTACGTGTTTGATGCTGTTTAATACAGATGCACTTACAGACGTGATATCGAGATGACTGTCGAGATCGGAATCCGCCATCTTTGTTCTGCTCTTTACGTTCTCCACTGTCGTGGTCCATCAATATCTTGGAACTGAGCTAACTGAGGCACCATTCTTCCCTGTGTCTATTGTTTGCGCTGAGTCCAAACGATTCGGCCTGGCACAAATGATAGTAAGATTGAACCAAATATAGGGGAATCAGTCTGTGAATGTACACGGTTACAAGGGTAGAAACATGATCATAACACTCTTTGAAAAGCTTTGAGACGATAACAACCGCCATTAATTACTCAGTTTCGGTGCTGACATGAATGATAGGATATAATAATAGTAATGTATTTCTAAAGCGCCTAGTATCCATCGACAGATGCTCACTGATATATACTTTTACTGAATACCCTACCCGGTACAATTATAATAAGGACCACTCACCAATGTCACCTATCCAAAGGACAACTGTACGGCTCCGACTGGTAATAGTTTATGTTCCAGCACTGTGATTGCTTTGTAAATTAGAACTCGGGTGCTTCCACTATTTTGAAAGTTGTGTTGGTTATCGCTCACAATGTGCAGATCGATAATCGGAGCTCAGTAATCAGTTAATAGACGATTGGAATCGTAAACCCCATCCAAAAACTCGTGGGCAACAACAGGACACACAGCATTGTGCAAACGAAACAGGCGCCGATTAATATCACGATCAAGACGATCGAGGACACTTCCTGTTGAGACACGGACGCGAGTATGTTGTTTACATTATAGTTGCACGAGTCAGGGCCTAGATTTTGGAAGCTCTCTTAGCGCTAAGATAGTCGTAAGTGCCATTCATTAACAATAACTTACGACTATCTTAAGAGAGCTTCGAAAACCTAGGCCCAGGATGCTACATCAATTGTTTATGTCTTGATTTAACAAACAGAACAATAAGAATATGCTTTCTAACAGTTAATTTGACGCTTCTTATTTTATGAATATTGATTAGTGTCCCAGGTGCATCGATAATCGCTGATGCAAACGAGATCGATCGACAGATTAACGATCAATCGCTCCAGCACTAATTAAAATTAGCGTGTCAAATCACGTAGCTTTAGATCCCCATTCTCAGGGCTTGAAGACTCACACCGATGACGTAACATTAAACTATGTCATTTTCGTTCCAGTTCCGTTTCCTGTACAAGCAGGTGCACGCCCTGCACCACCGATACAGCCGTACGTTCTCGTGGGTGACCCAGTACCTCCACCCCTGGGAGCTGGTGACCGTAGGCTTCCTTACCACCACCAACACCTGGTTCTTCAACTCCCACTGTCTCACTACCTGGAGCTACATGCTCTTCAGCATCTTCATCAGTGTTGAGGGGCACTGCGGCTTCGACTTCCCCTTCACCGCCAACAACTTCTGTCCCTTCGACCTGTTCGGCGGTGCTCCGAAGCACGACATGCACCACCAGAAGCCCTTGACCAACTACCAGCCCTTCTTCAACCACCTTGACCGTCTGTTTGGATCCTACTGTCCACCAATGAGGGCTGGTGGGGTCAAGACCAAGGCTCTCCTGGAATACGAGAGAAGAAACCGCGAGACAAAGAAACAGGGTTAAATAACAGATGGAGGGGAACAGATAATGCTGCTGAAGTCTGTCAAAAATGTTTCAATAAATTTAAATACCTCATCAAATTACAAGCATTGATGACCTATGACGATTCAATTTTAGGTGTGCTTAAGTTTCTTTCAAATTGCTTGGTAAGATGTATTGACTATCTTAAATACACATATACGACTTCAGCAGCGTATCTGTATGTTACGAAAGTGTTATAAGGGAGTTGGTGGAATTAAACTTATGTGTCCAGTACGTATTTGATACTGAATATGGGGTGTATGCTATTCTATATGTCATGTATTTACAACGTAACGTTCTTACCTGCATGTGATTAGCGTGTGTTTACCACATGTATACGTTATTATGAAAAACTGGCATAGAACAGCATTCGCCCTGCTTAAAGATATATGTTGTACAGCTCCCTTATAATACACCCGGATCCATTTAAGCTTGAGACTTTCCTGGTTTCTTAATGTTGACCTTTTTCTCGTTTGACTTTGCTTCCCGAAAAGTGATGTTTTTAGTGTGTCATTAGAGATCCTCCTTTGAAAATTGATCACATGAACGTTTTTGAATATGTTTTGGGTACCTTTTATCACAAAGACATTCACAGTTTTATCGGATTCGCTATTTAAGAAATGCTAGTTTTCTTTTTTGTTCTATCTTTGTTACAAAAATGTACACAACCGTGATCCTATGATTTTACCTGTTTAAGTCTCAATGCATTTTATTGGTGCACAAGTATGAAGGACTTGGTCCTATCCATCTATGAGGCGATTCGATTGGCTGGCACGCCCATACCTCATAATGACGTGGCCTTTGTTGCCATCGATGTGAGGTATAGCTCTGTCAATGCATCGTCTCAATATATATGTATGTTTATAAAGTCAACTCCTGATATAGCGAAGTAATGGCTCGAAAACATTCTCTTGCTCGAGCAGTAATGATTCTGGTTATTGCCCATTGGTATACCGCGTTTCAGATTCAAAAGAATGTAATTACTGGGTTCTTTAGTTCGTGATACCTCGAGTTGTATTTGTCGTATTTTATCGATATCTTTAGATATCCGTATTGTGAACCATTTTAGAAAATTGTGATATTGTTTTTAGATTGAAGCGATATTCATCTCACCTGAAAGTGATTTTGCAACTTGTACTTTATACATAGGAATAGTCAAACATATCCCGGTAAGTTAAGAGCGGTGACGATGCGCAGGTCAGAGTGACATTCCCATACATGTATCCCGTTAAATAGCTCCAGAGAATGCTGATATAAATGCTGATATGAATGCTGTATCTGCCGCGCAGGCCATATGCTCATGCCCTTTCATGGCTTCAAGTGGAAGCGAAATTGCTACAATTGCCTTGATGGTATCAAAGCAGGAAGCTGAAATGTCAGAATGTCATGATTTGGCCAAACCGAAGAGGTATGTACTCCCTGAGTTACCGTTTTGTGACCAGCCAAATATGAATGCATATGTCATGATTATGCTTGAAAGTAATACCTGAGATAAGTTTCTAGGCTTCCGTTAGACCCTGATAAATTATTTATTAGATATCCATTCACGTCAGTTTTACTTCACTGATTTCTACCAAGGAAGAAAATCTTTACATCTGTAAGCTTTATTCATTATTTGACGAAATATTACGATACGTTGCTCCACCAAAGATTACTGCTTCATCCGTGGACATTTCATCACGCAAATGTCTTGACCAGTTGTTTTAGAGACTAACATGCTTCTCACCTCGCATTTTTAAAATTATGGATAAAGTCTAATATTTAATTTATGGTGGCCTAACTGTCTATATCCAAAATTGTCCAGAAGTAGAGCTCTTTCGAGGTACATCGGTAGAAATCCTTCCAGGTACATCGGTAGAGCTCCTTCCAGGTATATCGGTAGAGCTCCTTCCAGGTACATCGGTAGAGCTCCTTCCAGGTATATCAGTAGATCTCCTTCCAGGTACATCGGAAGAGCTCCTTCCAGGTATATCGGTAGAGCTCCTTGCCGGTACATCGGTAGAGCTCCTTCCAGGTATATCGGTAGAGCTCCTTCCCGGTACATCGGTAGAGCTCCACCGGTAGAGCTCCTTCCAGGTATATCGGTAGAGCTCCTTCCCGGTACATCTCCTTCCAGGTATATCGGTAGAGTTCCTTCCAGGTATATCGGTAGAGCTCCTTCCAGGTACATCGGTAGAGCTCCTTCCAGGTACACCGGTAGAGCTCCTTCCAGGTACACCGGTAGAGCTCCTTCCCGGTATATCGGTAGAGCTCCTTGCCGGTATATCGGTAGAGCTCCTTCCAGGTATATCGGTAGAGCTCCTTCCAGGTATATCGGTAGATCTCCTTCCAGGTATATCGGTAGAGCTCCTTCCAGGTATATCGGTAGAGCTCCTTCCAGGTATATCGGTAGAGCTCCTTCCAGGTATATCGGTAGAGCTCCTTCCAGGTATATCGGTAGAGCTCCTTCCAGGTATATCGGTAGATCTCCTTCCAGGTATATCGGTAGAGCTCCTTCCAGGTATATCGGTAGAGCTCCTTCCAGGTATATCGGTAGAGCTCCTTCCAGGTATATCGGTAGATCTCCTTCCAGGTATATCGGTAGAGCTCCTTCCAGGTATATCGGTAGAGCTCCTTCCAGTTATATCGGTAGAGCTCCTTCCAGGTATATCGGTAGATCTCCTTCCAGGTATATCGGTAGAGCTCCTTCCAGAGCTCCTTCCAGTTATATCGGTAGAGCTCCTTCCAGGTGTATCGGTAGAGCTCCTTCCAGGTATATCGGTAGATCTCCTTCCAGGTATATCGGTAGAGCTCCTTCCAGGTATATCGGTAGAGCTCCTTCCAGGTATATCGGTAGAGCTCCTTCCAGGTATATCGGTAGAGCTCCTTCCAGGTATATCGGTAGAGCTCCTTCGGTTGTTGATCTTAAAGGTACTGTTTCGGTATTTAGCAAACACTTAGTAGCATAAATTCGATTTAACGAAATATTGGAATTGCCTTTTGGTGGAGCCTTTTATCAAAATCGTAGGCAAAATTTTATTACGAAAATGTTAATGAAGTCGATTCTTCAACATAACGTGTGTACAAATTCCCAAAACGAATGGACCTGCGTCGCTTTCTTTTTACTGTAGTTGAAAGCCTATGTGTCATCTTTAACAAAGCTGAATCAGCATCAACATAGTGCTGAATAAATTATCCTGCTTGATAAGGCGTTGGCTTATCATTTATGTCCTTGGACAATGATCCTTGTGGGCGTGTGCTATCAGAGCAGCGTGAACGATAATGTGGTGATCTGTTTGATAATTTGGTGGTTTGAATTTGTTTTGTAACGTCGCTCTGAGCAATGATATCCCAGCTATATTATGATACCTATATACAGATAATTGTGTGAATAATATCCTGATCATCGATCCACGCCATTTTTCCTTCGACGACATGCATCAGCCAGGTCGGGGAGCCTGACAATCGGACCCCGTTAGTCGTCTCGGCATGGGTTTGCGGAATACCAGTGCTAGTGATAAAGCTGAATATCAGCTGCCGGAAGCTAATGCCAAGGGCTGGCTTCCTCGTGGGATATGGTAATGTTCAGATAGTTAGTATTGCAGCAAAGATAATGTGGTGGTGGTGGTGGAATTGGGTTTAACGTCGTGCTTGAGAATATTTCGCTCATATGACGACGTGCATGCGTGTGTATGTGTATGTGCGGCTGCTTGTACTAGACAGACTTAAGCTGGTTTTATAGTGCTAGCCCATTGTGATACCATGCCGCAGTGAAGCATGAATACCCCACTCAGACACATTATACTGACTCCGAGCGCCAGGCAGGGACCAACAAGTACCATATTTTAACGTCTTTTGGTATGACGCAGTCGGGGATCGAACCCGCGAGCTTCCGCACTCCGGGCGGACGCTCTAACCACTACACCACGGAGGCGGTCGCCAAGATAATGTAAGGGAACGGGTTGTAATTATCTGACAGCAGGGGTGGAGCATGTGTGTTTGATAATACAGAAATAACACGCTCGAACCGTTGCATGACGGGCGTTATTTTTAGCTGTTTGTTTAACCATACAATTATGAACCAGGTCAACTGCTATTCTATTTAAATGAAGAGAAAAGCAAAGGTGCACTAAACAGTGATCTTCTAGGGATATGTATACGACATTTGCAGGGAAACGTTAATAATATGTTGCTGTACTGTTCAGTGGTAAGAAACAGAATGACAGTAAAGATATTGTTTAAACTCAATTAGATGTTTTTGGACAAGCGGTGTATGCCACGTCAAGTACGGTTTATTGGATTCCCGCGGTATTAATGAATCTGACCTTTGAGGGTAAAAAACCTGATGGACAGTAGGGCGCTTTGTCTAATCATCTAACAAAACTAATGGTCAACTGATGTTCAACAACTAATTGAAATCACATGTTACAACTCTCTATCTCATCAAAGAGACACAATGCCAACAGTTGCGACACCTTTTACTAAATATCCCTGTATATTTTAAATAGCATTTTACTTTGCCGTGGTACTTAAACCTTAGGTGAAACTATATACCAAATATTAATATAAAGATCCATATGTGAATAAATCTATTGAATTATTGGTTTGTAAGAAACAAATTTAGGAAATTCGTATGTGAAGTCTTTTGTACTAGGTGAACTAAATCACGTAGCGAACTGTCTGGTTGACATGACCTTCGAGAAAGATTTAGTGATCTGGCTTGTTCGCTGAGGTCAGCCTTGTTTGAATAATACCAAATGGCGATTCGATAGCTCGGTTGCTGATATACCAAAGAGAACTACCCTGTAAATATAAAAACATTTGTACATATATATAATAAAAAGATATGGCGACCTCCTTCGGTTGATAAAATCCCAGCACAGGCTGAGTGAGGATTTATACTGATCAACGCGGATTTGGACACAAAGCAGTCTTGACAGATATCAGCTATTGGCGGAACCAAGGGGTGAGTGGGTTCAGGGGGTTTGAATCTCTCCCCCCCCCCCTTTTGAAAATGACTAAAAACCACATTGAAGTTAATATTATGCATTTGCGGAGCCAAGGTGTGTGTGTGTGTGCGTTTGTTTGTTTTCAGGGTTCGACCCATGGGCTTCAGTAAACATCTCCGACCTGGGTGAGTTTGGGCAATTTCGGTCAGGAACATGGTTTGAGATTAGCAAAGAAAGACAATAATCCAGACAAAGTGAATATTTTGCTCCGTGTATGTGTGTTTTCGTCGTATTATTATATGGTCACGGTAAGACCAGCGCCCATAATACAATATACAAGACATAACCAAGATGCAGTGTACAACATACAACATGTCATACAGCGCCCATAATAAAATATACAAGACATAACCAAGATGCAGTGTACAACATACAAGATGTCATACAGCGCCCATAATACAATACACAAGACATAACCAAGATGCAGTGTACAACATACTGCACGTCATACAGCGCCCATAATACAATATACAAGACATAACCAAGATGCAGTGTACAACATACAACATGTCATACAGATCCCATAATAAAATATACAAGACATAACCAAGATGCAGTGTACAACATACAAGATGTCATACAGCGCCCATAATACAATATACAAGACATCACCAAGATACCGTGTACAACATACAACACGTGCCATACGGCGCGGATAATACAATATAGAAGACATCACCAAGATACCGTGTACAACATACAACACGTGCCATACGGCGCGGATAATACAATATAGAAGATATAACCAAGATACAGTGTACAATATACAACACGTGTCATACGGCGCCCATTATACAATATACAAGACATCACCAAGATACAGTGTACAACATACAACACGTGTCATACAGCGCCCATAATACAATAAACAAGACATAACCAAGATACAGTGTACAACATACAACACGTCATACAGCGCCCATAATACAATATACAAGACATCACCAAGATGTAGTGTACAACATACAACAAGTGTCCTACGGCGCCCATTATACAATATACAAGACATCACCAAGATGCAGTGTACAACATACAACATGTCATACAGAGCCCATAATACAATATACAAGACATAACCAAGATACAGTGTACAACATACAACATGTCATACAGCGCCCATAATACAATATACAAGACATAACCAAGATACAGTGTACAACATACAACACGTCATACAGCGCCCATAATGCAATATACAAGACATAACCAAGATGCAGTGTACAACATACAACACGTGTCATACAGCGTCCATAATACAATATACAAGACATCACCAAGATGTAGTGTACAACATACAACAAGTGTCCTACGGCGCCCATTATACAATATACAAGACATCACCAAGATGCAGTGTACAAGATGTAACATACAGCGCCCATAATACAATATACAAGACATCACCAAGATACAGTGTACAACATACAACGTCATACAGCGCCCATAATACAATATACAAGACATAACCAAGATGCAGTGTACAACATACAACACGTGTCATAGAGCTCCCATAATACAATATACAAAACATCACCAAGATACAGTGTACAACATACAACACGTGTCATACGGCGCCCATAATACAATATACAAGACATCACCAAGATACAGTGTACAACATACAACATGTAACATACAGCGCCCATAATACAATATACAAGACATCACCAAGATACAGTGTACAACATACAACACGTGTCATACGGCGCCTATAATACAATATACAAGGCATCACCAAGATACAGTGTACAACATACAACATGTAACATACAGCGCCCATAATACAATATACAAGACATCACCAAGATACAGTGAACAACATACAACATGTAACATACAGCGCCCATAATACAATATACAAGGTATCACCAAGATGCAGTGTACAACATACAACACGTGTCATAGAGCGCCCATAATACAATATACAAGACATAACCAAGATGCAGTGTACAACATACAACACGTGTCATAGAGCTCCCATAATACAATATACAAAACATCACCAAGATACAGTGTACAACATACAACACGTGTCATACGGCGCCCATAATACAATATACAAGACATCACCAAGATACAGTGTACAACATACAACATGTAACATACAGCGCCCATAATACAATATACAAGACATCACCAAGATACAGTGTACAACATACAACACGTGTCATACGGCGCCTATAATACAATATACAAGGCATCACCAAGATACAGTGTACAACATACAACATGTAACATACAGCGCCCATAATACAATATACAAGACATCACCAAGATACAGTGAACAACATACAACATGTAACATACAGCGCCCATAATACAATATACAAGGTATCACCAAGATGCAGTGTACAACATACAACACGTGTCATAGAGCGCCCATAATACAATATACAAAACATCACCAAGATACAGTGTACAACATACAACACGTGTCATAGAGCGCCCATAATACAATATACAAGACATAACCAAGATACAGTGTACAACATACAACACGTGTCCTACGGCGCCCATAATACAATATACAAGACATCACCAAGATACGGTGTACAACACATGATATACATGGAGAATGAACATCTTCACAGAAACGGGAGAGGATCTGCAGAATAGAAAGTACAGCATCCTTGAGAGATTGTTCTTAACCCTTGTTTGTTTAACATCATTCAGGCTAGTTTCTACATGCACACTTTGTTAAGGACTAATTTGCACCAACATGACGTTGCCATAGCAACTGAATCTAAATAAGAGTTAGATATTCATGAGAAAACGCCATGTGATGTGATGTAGAGAAGGTTACAAACAAACGCCCTTTACACGATGTCATTTATATTTACTTTTGAAGACTTATGTTGCCCAAGATGTTTCCAACAGTATCCCTCCCACTCAGATGAACAATTTTGACAAATAGTGGTGAAGCCCCGAAAACATTTCACCCACTCTACCGCCAGTTATTGTCATTTGAAAAATCACTTGGTTTTAACAGGAAGAGACTCTGGGACATGACGCGGGGTAAATAATCATTTGCTGTTGCTTAGCAAACATTGATTACTCGAGTGGCCTGCTATCACACATTCCTGGCCAGATGGGATGACTGTGTTATAATTAATATTGTTACGTAAATAATATGTCATTAAAACGTATGCATGCTTACTTCAGTGTTTAACATTTCAAATACCTTTCCAATTAAGCAGGG